GTCTACCAAGGGGTTAAAGAAAAACCAAAGCAAAATTCATAGGAAAAATATTTCAAATTTTCGGTGACGTGCGGCGTTTTTGGGTCCAACAAAAACAAAAATAAATAAATATATATACTATATAGAAATGTTGCGCATAAAAATCTATTTTAATTCAAGGTCGCGTCATCAGTTTTGTTGAGTAGGGAAAATAGTGTCCAATCAAGATGAGCGGGGAAAATTGATAAAGAATGGAAAATAAACATTGCAAACATTAGAATAAAAGAAAAACATTGACAGTGTAGAGATAACAAAAGAAGTAAGGCTTAATTTTTAATTAATAATAATTTTAAAATATTTTTTGTAGGGTTTTAAGCTTTAAATAATGGTTATGTATATTTTTAAAACAATATATTTCCATAATTATAAGCTTTTTCTTTTTTGTAGAAAGAATTCTCTTGCTTTTCCTTTTTTAATATAAAAATTATTTATATTAAAATTTAGAATAATTTTTTCAAAATTTTGGCACAGAAGTTTTCACATATATTGTATTCCTTTTTTCTGAACAGATTCGTGAATATAAACCATAAGCTGAAGCTTAAAATTCTAAAACAGTGTGACCTTGCTCTTAATAAAATCACAATTTTAATGTGCGGTCACTCTGGTCACACTATCCGTATGCATAACACAGGTATCCTGGAAATTCCAAAACGCAGCAGTCTTGTTTTTATAAATTTACATGTATATGAAAATGTATGCACTTTTATTAAAAAACAACAAAATAAATTTAATTATTTTTTTATTCAATCTTCTGCCTAATTATTTCATTTAAAATTTCTAAAAATCAGCAAAAAACTGGGCCTCAATCTACACCTTGATCTACATTCCGAGATCAAGCAGAAACACCACATTCTTCCGCATGAATAGATCTTCTTTTTAAGCAAAAGTGAAGAAACCAAAATAAAATAATAAATGAGAAAAAACAGAAAAAAGACGACCCCGGCAAAGCGTTAGATTGTTCAATTATTCAATTGGTGACTTGAAGACGGGGAGCCAGCAATTTTGATTATATTTATTAGATGCGGGATTAGCTTCTTTGCTGGCTGTCTGTCTGGCGCAATTTGCGCGTTGAGTATACGCCATGTGTGCCATGGGCTCACATGTGGCCACACTCTGGAGGAGATCGCAGATGGAATTTAAATTTAAATTGAAAGTGGAATTTTAAATTGAAATTGTAATGATGATCGCTGGTCAATATTTGGGATTCACCATTCTCTCAGTTCACCTTACACCTAACCACCGTCGTCGTCGTCGTCGTTGTCTTTGCCGGTCGTCTATGCAAATGTAGCGGAAATACTGAACAAAAAATGCCACTCGACTTGGCCCTGGATCATCATCTCTATATACCTGTCTATATAAATACGTACGAACGTATGTGCATATATTTCTTCTTTTTTTTTGCGAAATTGCTGCTCCTGAATGATCTCTCAAGATACAAATTTCAGCTCAAGTGTGTCACTTGAAGAGCGTTGAAGCAAAAAAAGAAAAAGAAAACAATTCAATTGATTTTTGAGTGTATTTGATCAGCTCTCAACGGGAGTCTCACACAAACACAATAAGCGAAAATAATAATAAATATAAATTTAAAGAAATAAAAACATGATTATGAGTTAAATAACAATTATTTAAAATAACAATGAATTGAACAGAGTTATTTTAATAAATTTGTAAGCGGAGTTTAATAATTAAATAATATAAAGCCTTTTAAATTGATGTTAGGTACTGATGATAAAAAATTTATTATTTAATATTTAAAACAATGCAATTTTAATGAATTTTAAGAAGAAATATTTAAATAAATTCCTCCAATTCCGGAAACCTTCAATTAATATTAGAGTTTAATAATTTTGTCAAGCTTTCAAAACGTAAAATTATTATTTATAATTATATAATTGTTCCTAAATAAATTGAGGAAGGTTTTACTATTGATTTATATTAATCAAACAAATTATAAAATACCTAAAATGAAATTTAATAACAGAAAATACACTTGAAACAAATAATCAAATAAAAAGCCTAATGTTTTATAGGAAAATAATATATAATTATAATAGGAATTGTTTATAAACCTAAAGTATCTATTTTATTTAAATATAAATAAGGTTTTAAAATCTAAATTATAAATGTATTAAACTAAACAATATTTAAATATATCTAAAATTAAATTCATACCTGAAATAATCTCCTCGACCTGTTTTAGTGTTTTTTAGTTGTTTTGTGGTTATTATTTATTTTTTTAATACATATATTTATCTATTTTTTTATTAATTCCAGAATATCCATAATTAACCATCCTCCTTAGCCCGTTGAGTATTAATTTTTAAATTTAAATATTTTTATTTATATTTATATTTAAATTTTGTATGATTTTTCATTTAAAAATTTGCCACATTTTTGCAGTCATTTTCAGTTTCTTTTCTTATGATTTATCACAATTGTCAACAATTTAAAACAAACTGAGAAATAGGCAGAGAAAATGTCATGACAAATATTTTGCACTTTTTTTGTGCCAAAAAAACCAAATTCAAATAAAAGAAAATGAAAGAAAAACTTAAAAAGCAAAAGAGAAAATGCTCTCAAGAATTTTCATGTGTGGCTAAGTATGTCCCAGCATGAAACTAAACAAAGCGGCAAATACAATAAAAACTTAAATAAAACACAAATAATAACAACAAAAAAAAAGAGAAATATAAAATTGGAGAAAAAAACCAATGGAAAATTGTGGAAAATCGTTTGAGGCGTTTTTCTAATAAAAATCTTTACAAAAAGTATAAAATAATTAAAGGAATCATTGCAATCATTGGAATTAAATCTAATATATAAAATAAATAAAGGCCTAAAAGCAAATGTTATTAAAATTTGATTATAAAAATTTATATTGCTTAAATTCAGTTGCTTTCAGTTAATAATTTAATTTATATTCATCGTTTTATTTTCTGTTTGTTTTATTATTTGATTGATTTTTCACATGTTAATATTTTGATAAATAAATTCCAGGTCTAAAGTGGTTTATTTAATGCATTTCTTGTATATCTTTCACTTCACATCAAATAAAAATAATTTAAAAAAAAATACTTATATATTTATATTAATTATAAAACACTCGCACACACTTGATAAATAAATAAATTCGTAAAGAGAGAGAAGAGATGCCCCGAAAGGAGAGTTTTTCCGAATTCACGCGAAGATCGGGCTCAGATCGTTTTCGATTCGGAAAGATCGGCGAAGATCAACGCCAGAGCATCGCGAGGAGACTGAAGCCACCATGGGATACACGGCAGTATATCGGATCGTTGGATATATGCTATATACACTTTAACGCGACACACGGGCGTGTGGTGCGCGTGGGCCCCGCAGAATCATCATCATCCCCATCATCATCATCCTGTTCATCATCATCATCATTATCATCACACACACTCACATATATCGGATAATACCACAGTCGCCATTTAACCGAATGATAAATGAACAGAGCTTCGTCTATATCTTCGCCGATCAGCTCGATTAGCGCGGATGAGAATGAGGAGAGACCTCTTACAGGTGGCTGTGGGAGAGCTTTTAGTACACAAGAAAAAAATATATATTAAATATTAATATAATATATATAGTTTAGAATTTAATGCTAGATTTAATTTAATATTAAAAATTAATTTCAATTACTTTAATATTCCTTTTAAAGCTTTTATAATATTTACACAACTTTAGGTAGAAGTCTTTTCTTAAATTCTTAATAATTTCAAAGAGAAAATGATTTAACAATTAAAAGATCCTAAACAAACTTTGTATAAATAAATAAAGACTAAATTCCAATGATTTAGGTATGCCTTTTTGTAAGCTTTACATTCTTCCAATAAAAGGCAGATTAAAATATATTTATCTTAATCTTATTTTAGAAAAAAATGTATATATATATAATTTAAATATTTGTGTGTTTTTTTCTGTGCATTTTGAGGAGACATCATTTGTGAAAGCTTTGTATTTTAGCTCACTAAGCTTTTTACAGTCAACACAAGATTCGACATTGTTTTTCTAGGCGTAAAATAAAATATAAGCAATAACTGTTTGTAAAAAAAAATATCTATTAAAATTAATGTTTCTTAAATAAAGAATTGTCGTACGTTTTTATAGCAAATTTAAAAAACATATAAATACATAAATCTTAATAAAAATCTGGTCAAAAGTTGCTATTTCTAGATAAGAAAATCGTTTAAATTTAAAGTATATTTATATTATTTTTTATTTATATAAATTCCCTAATTGTCTCTTAGTAATTTTTCTGTTTTTACAAACAAATTGTCAATATATATATTTATTTAATAAATAAAAACGTAAAAATGTCTAGAAAAAAGGTGTGAATTTATAAAAAGCGACTATAATTTTGATGTATTCTCTATTTTTTTGCACCTGTTTGGGACTTGACTAAAGAAAGCTTTCACTTGTATCGATTTCAAGCTAAGGATAACAGTCCTTTAGGATATTCTTGGAGCTTGTAGTGGCCAGAAGTTGAAGCTTTTCCCCCTGGATTTCCTGCCTTGCTAGTTCAGCCTCAGCCTCGTCCTTGACCTTGGCCTTGTTAACATTACTGCTGCTGCTTGGTATATTGGGCTCTATGTTCTTTGGATTCGTATGGAAATCCTCCAGCTCCACCTCCTTGTCTGCTACCACGACAACCTTCTAGCTTATATCCTCCAAAACGACAGGTATATCTTGTGAACTAGAGGGAGAAAGCAAAAGCAAATCTTAAAACAGAAAGAGATGGAAAATAATGTACAACTTACAAAGGATCTTCCAGAATATAAACTTAAATCATTATCAAATACACATCCTTTTAAAAATACAACAAAGAACTCCAATTAGTTTGTTAATTTTCTAGGTATTTTATATATTTTCAACAATTTACACCTCGCTTTATCCATTATTGAACACGTTCGTAATATAATATCCAATGCAGTTCCCCAGTGAGTTAATGTGGTTGTGGCTACGCTACAATGTGGTTGGACAGTGCTCCTCCGTTTAGCTAAGCTTCTTGGGTTGACTACGTGTGGGGGATACTCCTCATTATCCATCCATATCCATACTTTTTCTTTTAAACATTCGGCTTAATAGCTAGAGATTTCGCTTGTGTCTAGGTGTCTGTGGTCTGTTGTTCTTGTCTTTGTTGTGTGTCTCAAGTCTGTCTGTGGTCTGTCTTTGCGTAGAGGTGCCTTTTTGTTTAGGGTTTCTTGGTGTTTAATGTTGTGGGTTTTGTGTGAGTTCCCGAATCGAATTCGTTTAGTGATTGACACCCTTGCGCTCCTGGATGTGATCCAGATTGTAGGAGATGGTGCCACGCAGCTTGCTCTCCAGGCAGTTGGAGTAGACGTCCGTCCAGAGATGGCTTACGCCCAGCTCGGCATCGGTCTTGGCAAAGGCAGTGGCCTCGTCGATCTCCTTGCGCACCTTCAGATCAATGGCCTTAAGGAAAAACAAGAAATATTATTATATTATATTATGTTTTAGATATTCTTTTCAATTCCAACCCACCTTGACCTCATCGGCGGACAGCAGACCCAGCTCAATGCACAGCTCCTTGAAGGAGGTAATGGGATCACGCTTCTGGCGCACCTCCTGGATCTCCTCACGGGTGCGGTACGAGGTGCCGGGATCGGACATCGAGTGACCAGAGTAGCGGTATGTGTTAGTCTCCATCACCAAAGGTCCCACGGTGTTCACATAGTTAATGGCAAACTCGGTGGCACTGCGCACGGCCAGCACATCCATGCCATCGACCCAGATACCGGGCAAGGCATCACCGCGCGTATAATAGTCCGTGTTGCAGGACGCACGCTCCGTGCTGGTGCCCATGGCTGTCATAAAAATATTTATATATTAATAAGAAACAATCAATTCATTTCAAGTTTCCTTCTTCCAACCCACCGTAATTGTTATTCTCGCAGACAAAGATCACCGGGAGCTTCCACAGGTATGCCATGTTGTAGGCCTCAAACACTTGACCCTGATTGGCCGCACCATCACCGTACAGGGCCAGGCACATGCCACCGTTGCCCTTGTATTTGCAGGCCAGACCCACACCAGTTCCAAGGGGCACTTGGGCTCCAACGATACCGTTGCCGCCATAGAAATTCGGTGAGTACATGTGCATGGAGCCGCCCTTGCCGCGGGCACACCCACCCTGGACGCCGGTCAGCTCGGCCAGCACACCGTTGGGTGAGACACCCATCAGGTAGGTCCAGCCATGGACACGGTATGCCGAAATAATGTTATCCACATCCCGCATAGCCGCTTTCATGCCAACAGCACAGGCCTCCTGGCCAGAGTAGAGATGACAGAAGCCACGGATGATCTTCTCCTTGTACAGATTGCCGGCAGCCGTTTCCAGTCTTCGGATCGTTTGCATTTGTGTGTAGTACCTAAGGGCCTCATCCTTGGTCAGTTTCACTTCCTCGGCAGGTCCCTCGTCCAAACGATGCAGCTTGAAGGGCTAAAAAGGGCGGAGAAATATTTAAATTAGATTAAGTTTTGTAAATATTTAATAATCTAATAATAATATGGATTTCATAATTTCATTTAAATTTATTTGAAGCTGTTAAAAACTAACCTAAAGGTATTTATCGATATTTTTATATGACAATTTTTACGATAAATTACAGTTTTAAAAAACTTATAACTAAGCCGAAAAGACACTAATTTTAAATCGGAAAGCTGTCCGATATCAGTTTTTACTAGATTAATAAATCTGCTTACTCAATTTAAAACTACAAAGAAGATGAAATTTATCCAATTTTTTTTACAAGTTTTATGATAAAACCCCTTAAAAAAATTTGAAAAAATTTATAAATTTTTGTTTTTTTCAAAGATGGCTAGATCGATTCTCCTGATGATGCTGATCAAGAATATATATGATTTATAGGGTCGGAAATGACTCCTTCACTGCTTTACAAGCTTTTGACTAAAATTATAATACCATTATTTAATCCATATTTATTTATATTTCTATATGACAATTTTTTCGAAAAATCAAATTTTAAAAATCTCATAACTTAACCAAAAATTTAATAATTTTAATTCGGAAAGCTGTGTCATGTTATTTTTTAGTTGTTTAATAAATTTGCATACTCTTTTTAACTTTAAAACTTTAACTTTAAACTTTAACGATTTTACGCCTTAAAAATTTATACATTTTTTTTCAAAGATGGCTAGATCGATTCTCCTGATGATGCTGATCAAGAATATATATGATTTATAGGGTCGGAAATTACTCCTTCACTGCTTTACAAGCTTTTGACTAAAATTGTAATACCATACATGGTATAATAACTCAGCTGATCATCCTATAGATCCTATAAATCCTGCAGAAACAGCTGATTTATGTTTAGGCTTTAATTAATAACCGTAAATTGCTTTAGGGCAACATTTATGGCGTGAGAATTAACGTAAACAAAAAAGAGACAGACAGAAAGACAGACTGATAGAGAGTGCGAGAGACTGAGATATAGGGAAAATCACCGATCGTGTTGCTGATAACAACTTTTATATGATTTGTTTTTTGTGCGTGAACAGTCACGCGGCGGCCACGCAAAAATTAAACAATAACAAAAATGAGAGATGTCGGCAACAGATCGCCGACTGCGTGACCTTGTCATTTCAAAATTAACTTGACCGGCAAAATTGCAACCCTGTGCACCTGCTCGCACACACACACACACACGCACGTCAAGTTAACATTTGCTATCTGTCAAAGCAGCAAAGCGCATTATGTAATCCTTTTAAAAGACTTTCTGGTATTTTTTTATTTGTTATGTAGATAATATTCAGATTTACTTACCCGATTCACTTTAACGGTGGCTTCCGTGGCATAATTGTTGGTTTTCGAAACGCCAGCCTGTGCTGCATTCTGGAATAAACCGAAAAACGACGATGAATATCTGCAATGTTGCATCCCATTGTTGTTGTTGTTGTTGTTATGTCTCTTTCCGTTGACGTTGTTGCTGTTGTGGCTGCTGCTGATTGGGATTGCTTGCTATTTGTTTTGATTTTATGTATGATCGTTGTTGTTGTTGTTGGTTGGGTTGATAGTTGGTAGTGTGTGTGTTTTTTGGTTGTTGTTAAATTAGTGACAACAATTAAAAATGTTAGTGAGTGAGATTTGTTGCTGGATTACGTACTTTTTGCAGTTGCTTAACAATAATTGGCAATTCGCTAACGCGTGACAGAGTGCGCAACATTTTCGCTGAAAATCGAGGGTTATATCGAGGGCACTGTGGCTAAATCGAACTATGATATTATATATATGGTTTAAATAATCGCACGCTGGAGCTGCCACACGTTATCTGCTATCTCGGTCGCACCGCCGGGCGTCGTTGTAAGTTAAACAATTAAAAAAAAAGCAGCGAGTTTATCAACTTCTATATTGCACAACTATAATGTGACCGTGCTGGCATAAGCGGGTAAATACCAGCAATATGGCCGTGCAAAATATACTAAATCTGATTAAGGGTTGAAAGTTTTTAAATTTAACGAGCTTTAATTAAGCTGTTACTTTTGTTAAATTTATGTAAACATTAAAATATAACAAGTTCGGTTAATATCTTTGTTTGTTATTATTAATTCATAACTATTATTTTAATTATTCGTATATTTTTGTAAACATTTTACAGCACTACATCTTCTATCGATCTTTTTAGTTCTCTTTTCCCTTTATTCCATTTTAAGCCATTTTATCAACAGCCAATTCGTAATGAATAGTTTTAATAAATTATCGATTAAAAACAAGCCAGCTTTAATCATTTTATTAATTATATATTTCAGTTTTAAAAAATACCAAATACTTACGAAGCCCTGGCTGAAAGGATCAGTCTCCCGCCCAACCGAAACGCAGCCCTGGTTTCAAAGAAGTACTTTTATTTCACATTGAAGATCTCATTTTGGTTTTGTTTTTTATTTGTATTTTTATTATTTTTTTGTTATGTTTTTTTTTGCATTCTCATTTCTTACTCGTATTGTTACTTGAAATTGCCACCAATAGCTCCACATTTAGCGTTGCAGTTGCGCTAATTTGCAGCTGCTTTTTATCCCTTCACCACCTGACATAATTCACTAATCTCTTACAAAAAACTTAAGTAATGTTGGTTTCTGGCACAAAAAAAATTAAATAAATAACAAGTAACGAATAAATTTGAGTTAGACAAAGTAGAGTAGAATAGAATCGAAATAAACAGATTATAAACTAAGTTTTAAACTAGTTTCTTGTATTATTATTATTATTTTTTCTCGGTTTCTCATTAGAAATGGCAGCTAAAAGATTTGAGTTTTAAAAGTTATTAGCACAAAAACAAATAAATGAAGAAATGGATCTGATTGATGGGGAAAAAAAAAACGAAATTTGGGGGGAAAATCTTAAGAGCTTTCTTTTTCGTCTATTTTACTCTCCAACTATATCGCTCTCTTTTTGTCCTGTCTTTCGGTTTTCTGTTTTTTTATTTTCTGTTACATCAAAAATTGGTTTTCCACACAAATATTTTGCATTATGACAAAAAATTATGCTCTTTTTTTGTTGTTTTATATTGTATACATATGTATGTATATGTACATATACATATATACATATATATATATTTGTATATAAACACTTATTAGAAGTCCTCATGTGTGTGTCTTTCTTTGTCTTTGCCGTTAGAAATTTGCCTTTCTCTTTGCTTCTTAAGACCAAAAAAAATATGTTTTCTCGTGTCTTTTTGTCGTTTGTTATTCTTTTTTTTGTTTTTTTTTTTTTATTTATCGTAAGTGAGTGGGAGTGAGGGGGTGTGTGTGTGTGAGTGGGTGTGAGAGAGGTTCGTATCTTACCGTTAGCATAAATAGTTTTGTGTCTACGCAAAAAACGTGCTGAGCAATAATCTAAAACGCAATAGCCAAAGAGAGAGAGAGGTGCAATGTGTGTGTGTGTACGTGAAAAGTAACGGTAAATGTTCGTCCTTGTGTGTGTGTGTGGTGTGGAAGTGTAATGTTGGTTGTTGTTGTTGTTTTAGGAAATTACGTATTAAGCTTTTTTTAGTAGATTTTACTTAGTTTTTTTCGGTTTTGTTTTTCTTTTGCTTAATTTACACCAATGTTTACTTTATTTGTATTTCTTGCATGAATATATATATATATTTATATATTTTTTCGTTTTATTCAGTTTCTTGTTTCTGTTCTTTTTTTGCATTACTCTTGAAAATCTTGTATTTTTTACGTTTTCCCTTTTGCATAACATAAATCCGATTCGAAGAAACACATAGCACACATTTAGTATATAAACGACAAGATGATAATTATACATATTTTGTTTGCATTGGATTGTTGTTGTTGTTGCTGCTGCTGTTATTTTGCTACTTTTCCTCATTTTTTTGCAACAGTTTTCTCCAACTTTCTTCTAACTGCTTGCAGTTTCTACAAAAAATTTCTTGTTGCATACTTTGCTGCTGTGGATGGACAATACATATACACATACACACATATACATTGTTGTTGTTGTTGTAATTGGTTGTAGTACTTTTCTGTTAATATTATTGTTGTTGTAGTTGTTATTGTTGGTTAGCAATCAAGGGAGAAATGCAAGAAAATGTGAGGAAAGGCGTGTGGAAAGCAGGAGGTTAAATCCATGTCCAGCACACACCGATTTTTGTGTTTCCTCGTAAGCAATGAATAATACATTGTATAAGTACACGGAGAGAATCTAGTATTACAAATGGAAAATAACATTCTAAACAAAAACCTAAACTAAGAAATAAATTTCTAAAAACTTGTACAAGTAATAGGGAAATTGTCTAATTGGTAAGAGAAATAAACACTAAAATTATATAGAATTGTAGATTTTTTCTGTGTGTACCCATATTGGGATAGCATTTGTGTTTATGTATGTGTGTGTATGCAAATTTCACATTATACTATTTTCTTTTTCTGCTTGGTTTCCGTTTACACGTGTTGCGAGAGAGGGAAAGAGCGCAAGTTCAATACATATAAATAATCCATCCAACAGAAAAAATATGTGAGTTTTCCTTACAATTTTTTTACTTTTACTTATTTTTTCTTTCTATCTTTTTTTGTTTTCTTTACTTTGCTCGTTCGGTTGTAGTGGTGGTTGTTGCCTGTGCTATGTGTCCGTGTGTGTGTGTCTGTGTATGTGTTTTGTGGTTCTTGCCTCTGCTAAGCTCCAATTGAAATTTGAACAAACTGAAAATTTACAAATAAAAAAATAAAAATACAACACATGGGTTGGTTTTTTTTTTCTTTTTCATTTCTAGTTAACAATTGTTTAATTACGCTTTTGTTTGCTATGATCTAACCAAGCGCCAGCACATTGATACATTTGTTGTAGTCCCGAGAAAAAACAAATGGGAATTTTTAAGGAAATAATAACTTGTAGAATTTTGTGGGACCCGGCAAATGCAACCGAATTGTTTTGCAGTGTTGTGTTTGTGTTTGTGTGAGCAAGCAGGATGGGGAATGATGATGATCGTCGTTGCTAGGTAGAGCTTCTCTCGGTTCTTGTTTAGTTTCATTTATGGGAACTGTTGCTTAAATGATTTTTTCATAATCTTGGATTTTCTTGTTTTTTTTTTTGTTGTCTTCCGTTTAACGAGATTTCAAGTGTGTCAGGGAGTACCCAAAAAACGTTACAAAGGGTATTCCCCCACATTCCACATGGTGTGTGTAATTGAGGAGCGCAGAAACCCAATTTAAACATCTTCCTGTTTGGGCAAAGGCGGCGACAACCAGGACGATTGATGATGTTGCTCTTCGACCTCGGCACGTCGACAACTGCTGCAACTGGTTGCATCGCTATCCTCCACAATGGTCCCACCATCATCTTCATCATCATCCTCGTCGTCGTCTTGATCCTCCTGATCATCGTTTAATTCCATTTCTTCTGCATCTTCTGGCTTTTTGTGTTCCTGATCCTGCTGCTCCTCTTGTGGCGTATCGGTCATCATTTCCGCATCCTGTAACTGTTGTTGTTCTTGTTGTTGATTTTGTTGTTGATGTTGTTGTTGTTGTTGTTGATTTTGTTGTTGTTGTTGTTGATTTTGTTGTTGTTGGTAGTTCAGGTGCCTTTGCTGTTGTTGTTGAGGCAACATTGATCCATCAGCATGCTGCTCTACCAGCTGTACCTCTCTATGTTCGACGTGTTCGTGTTCTTCGTGTTGCTGTTGCTGCTGGAGCAGCAGCAGCCTCCTCACCACCACTTCATCCGACTCGACAATACTTTAACCGCTCTTAAACAATAAAATGGCCACCTGGCCCAAATAGAAGTAAATGAAATGGCGCGTCTCGTGTGTCACATACGATCCAAAGTTGCGGCCAACAATGCAATGCCATGTGGGATTGTATTTTTTGTCGAATTCCTTCTTGATATAGGCGGCAATGTCCTGGAAAACGAAAATGATAGAGAAAATTAATATACGTATTCAATTGTTTTAAATGTAAAATATTAATAAATTGTTTTTAATATACCTCCAATTGCCATACCATAATTGCTTTTAACTTAGTTCAGATTGTGGTAAATAATACATAAGATTGTAAAGTAAATATAGAAAAATTATCCCAAATTGTCGTTTTAAAAATGTTTGAAATCTTTTAGAAAAATTATTCAAGTAGTTTACGATATATGCAATATTTGTTAATAATTAAAACTTTAACATATTTTTTAAAATGTTTCTAAATATATCATATCGATTTACAACCCAACTCCCTTGCCTCACAATAGTAATTTCTTTACTCTTTCTCGGCAAATTGAATTATTAAGTTGAAACAGAGAAAAAAAACAACGACAGAACAGCATTTTACTCTCCTTTTTTATTTTTTGCCCTGTGCAACTGCCAATTGTCGAACAAGTTAACGCCACATTCCATAAAGCTGTCAAAAAATGCAATGGCCAAGAATAACAACAAGAACAACAAAAAAAAAACTGAACTGAAACCGAATGGGGAAGGAAGGAGGTGTAGTAGGTGCGGGAAAAACGAGTCAAAGCTGGCGAAAACAAATGCTTAAGTGGCTGCTAACTGTTTCGAAATTAGCGGCAAAGCGGCGAGCGGCAAACTCAATAAAATGGCAAAACGAAAAACCCATTTCCCCCCCAATCACCCAAGGGGCCCCAGGTCTCACTCTCTCTCTGTCACTAGGGTAACCCAAATTGTGACCTCAAAAACAGAAGGCAGGCAAAAGTGGAGAAAGGAAATTCCACACGAGGTGGCGGGGTTGGAAAAAGGGGAAAACGAAAAGTTTTTCCGTGCTAATGAGTTAGTTATGATTGTTGTGGTGTTGTTGGTGTTTGTTGGTGTTGTTATCGTTGTTGTTGTTGTGGTTGTTATCGTTGTTTTTATGCCACAGCTAGTGTGTTTCGCATTAAGCAATTTGATGGAAATTAAAGGCCAGCTTTTTGAGGCAAAAGCTAATTATGTATGTTGGCACCCCACAACAAACCCTTCAACAACAACAACAAGAGGGCAAGGAAAATGAGTAAAAGAAAGAAGAAAATGGCTAAAGATGCTAAAGAGAGGCTAAAGAGACTAAAAGTGTTACAAATAAGTGAAAAAAGGGGGTGGCAAAGCAAGTGCAGTTTAAGTGTGTGTGTGTGTGTGTGGCAAATGTCAAAGGTCATTGTCAGCCGTTTTTGGCGGCTAAGTCCAGGGTTACGCAAACACACACACACACATTCTGAGATTTGAACGCAAACGCAGCAGCCGCCACAACACAAATAACCCGCATAGAGATTATAAAAATACTATGGAGGTCACACAAATACAAGAGTTTGGGTTTTTGTTGTATATAGCATACTTTAAAGGGCACAAGCAAATAGAAAAGGATATGAAATGATATTTCCTATTTCCCAGAACTCTATGCTTTAATGAATACATTTAAAATGAATAACAATAGTTGACTTTCCTACTACTTTCCATCCAATTATCGCAGCTTTTTTCTTTTCAATTATAAATAATGCAAAAAGTAAAAAAAATAAAAGAGAAGAAAGTCCCGTGAAAGAATAAAATCTTGTTCGCTTCAACACAAAAAAAAAACCAAAGTTGAGGCAATCGGAAAGTTTTACTTTTGCCATACTTTTGGGGCGCCACACTTGGAGTTGATTTCATTTAGTCAACAAATGGGCATGGGGCTAAAAAGGACACCCAACCCAATCCTTATTGCAGGCGAATGCGTGCAAAGTCATAAACTTAACCCGGTAACCTCAAAAAAAGAAGGCAAACAAATAATAAAAAAAAAACCAGAACAAAAAAAAAACTCTAAAAATAATAATAAAAGAAAAACAATATAAAGCTGATTTAGTTGAGTGCCATTATCCAATTCCGTCTTTTTATTTTGGCGCAAAGTTGTTGTCATCAGTGCCGCATTATACAGTCAGGCTTAAATAAATTAAACCTATCTATAGGGCATTTATTTTTGAAAATATTTATAATTCTTGTTAATTTTATATACACAAATTAGCCAATTTTATCCCTAGTTTCATTTCAAGGTCAAGAAACGTTTTTAGTTTTAATTTTTCTAAAAGTTTCTTAATGACTTTGTACTTGAGAATTTTAAGTGCCTTTCCTAAAGCATTTTTCCTATTCTCTAAGAAACTAAATTACCTTTTTAACTACTATTTATACTTATAAAAATGAATGATTATTTTAAATGTATTTTGAAGTCATAAATAAATCCTAGTTATTTCTCATTTTCAAAGATAAAATCGTTAGGTTTACCTTAACGAATGCAAACTGTACTGGGGAAAACCTTTAGCGATCGTTGCTATTAAGTCATTCCAGCTGTTTTCTATTTCGTGTGGAGTTTTCCTTTTTTTTGTAGGTTTTTTGTTTTATTTTCACCCAAAATTTGGGGCCTATTGCGTGTATATTTTCGTGTCGTGTCAGACGACAATATAAAGTTGATTGTTTTATATTCAATTTGGTTTGGGATGGGATGCAGTCCTGCCTCCCCCTAGCAATGCCATGGAATTTTGTTTTGGCAACGCCAAAAAAAACACAAATATATATATATATATAATATATATAAATGAACATTCCGACACACACAACTCACCCACAAAAGGGGTTTAAAGAAGGTAAAGTTTTTGGTTGGTTGCCATCGAGTGAGTGACTTGAAGTGTGTGTTGTGTTGTGTTGTTATGTTGTGTTGGTGTGTTGTGTTGTTATGTTGGTGTGTTGTGTTGTTGTTGTTTTCCGTTTTGTGCCACTAAGGAGCACACATAAATAAACACACACACACACACAGAACACATGTAAGCGTAATAAAACCGACATTGCAATTTTCGGTCATATAAATTGCTAGGGTTAAGGCAGAGGACGAACGAACGAAGAGTGACACATTTTGGCAGGACTAACTGATTGCTTCCTTTGAAAATAATGAAGGAACTACTTCATATTTGATTGACATACAGAAGGGGAAGGATTCCTTGTATTTATCTAGAAAAGGAAATAAGGTATTTCAATAACTGGGGAACACAAGATTTTCATTTTTGAGGTTGTAATATTTTAGCAACCTGTTTGAAGGTGAAAAAAACATATTGCATTTGAAAAAGGATATTCATTTCTTGGGGGAAAAAACTGCAGAGGTTTTAAAGAATGTATTTAAATAATTAAATAAATCCTAAACAAAGCATTTGCTTTATTATTTTCTGTTCAAAACCTTTAGAAAATGTGATAGATTTCTTTGATCGAGGAAAAAACAAACAGCAAAGGGATGTGAGCAAGGCTTTTGTCTGATCCTGCTTTTGCCACTTAATTCATGCACAGCAACACTGCAGGATAATTCCCTGTCCATTTAGACCGCAACAACACACCTGGAAAATATCCCCTGTGTGTGTGAGAGCCCCAATAAATATGCTTGGCCATGTTTGAAGGAGTGGCAAGGCAGGAAAAAAAAGTGGAAACGGAAAATGGGAAAGAAAAATCCGCAATGAATGTGTGTCAATAAAAAATGGATGCATATGTGTGTGTGTGCGACTCGATGCCATGCCATGCCCCAAACTCTATTTACATACAAAAAAAACTATACGTTGACTGCCCGCATATATTGATTAAACATTTCTTTTCTTTATTTTGGGCCACGCAAAAAATCACAAACAAAAACCATAAAAAAAAATGATAATAAAATTGACAAAAAACCAAGAGTAAAAAAATCAATTTGAAAATGTTTGTCGACCTCAACTCGTTTTTTATTTATTTATTATTTATTTGCACCTTTATTTGTTAACAGGGTTATAAAGAAATCCCCAATGAAAAGCTAAACCAAACTAATTAAATTTATTTTTAAAAACATAAGGCAATATAATGGAAATGGAAATGGAAATTTATTTTCCGTTCCTCTCTGCCTCTCATTTTTTTGGCCCTCTTCTTGGCTTATTTAGGGCTTTGCCTTTAAATCGCGGCTCACACACACACACACACACACACACACACACACATACACCTGCAGTCTATACAGATACAAATACATAGACATAACGGGAAGAGGAGGCAACATAATGCCTATGGATACGATTTAAGCTGCTTGAAAGGTTGCGCGCCCCTAAAAATATATACACAAGGTGCGGGGAGGGGTAGGAGAAAGGGGGGAAGGGGGTCAGCAACAACAACAACAACAACAAAAGCACAGTGGGGGCCAGGGCTTAACCCTTGTGTGTCCCATGGGGTGGGAGGGGGTGAGAGTAGCCTTCCTGCCTCCTAGGAGTAGTATTAGTTGCGTATCTAATGGATACCAAAAATTGTTTTTTCCCCCCACGCCCCCTTTTTTCATTCAACATTTTGCACGATTTTGTCTTTCGCTGTGATTGGATTTTTGAACTAAACAAATGTGATCAAGGAAATATATTTAATATAAATATAATATAAATATAATATAAATATAATATAAATATAATATAAATATAAATATAATATAAATATAATATAAATATAATATAACAATTACCCTAACAATTACTTGACTAATTTTACTTATAGAACTATTTTAGGAGGAATCTATGTTTTGTATTCAATTTAATTTTATTTATTTTATTAAAAGTTGTATAAGTGTTACAAAAACAAAAACTACACTTGGCTAGAGATAAAAATTATATATTTAGAATAACAAATATAAAATTGATCTATTTTGTGTATTATATATTTTGTACGATTTCAAAAAACAATGCCAAACTATGGGTTAAATCTTCCTAACTAAATAGTTTTTTTAATGGAAAAATAAAGAACTTTTAAATGAACGTCTTTTCATTGTTATACGATTTAAATATTTTTGAATTTTTATTTAAAGTTATATTATTTTTAATATATTTTAAATATTTTTTAAAATATTATATTATTAATCCGTTTTAGGGTATTATAACTTCAATTGTTGTTTCGCTGTGAAGTAATCATTTGCGACCCTATAAATCATATATATTCTTGATCAGCAACAACAGCCAAATCGATCAAGCCATCTTAGGCAGAAAAATTTTTTTTTTAATTTTTTCAACAATTTTTAAGGGATTATTTCATAAAAATTCAGACAACAAAAAACGGTAAAAATTTGATTTGCTTCAAATTTCAAATTGAGTATGCAGATTTATTAACCTATTAAAAACTAACACAGGACAGCTTACCAAATTAAAATTAATGCATTTTTGGCTTAGTTATGAGTTTTTTTAACTTTCATTTTGTTGAAAATATTGTCATATAAAAAAATCTATAAATATTGAATAGAAGTAAAGGGTCAGTGTTATTGCAATTCCCTTTGTATTTTTCTCTATTTTCATTTCAATTTATATTCATGCCCCGCAGCAGCAGCATCATCGTCGTATAAAGGTTAAAGGTCTTTTTACATATTTTCCCCAATTTCCCTACTACTTCTAGTACTTTCTGTTTTTATCATTTTCCATTAGACGTCGTCGGTGGCAATTTTTCAATTTTCATCTAAGCAATTAAATTTGTGTGTAACAACAACAACAACAAAAAATCCATATTTAATTACCAAAAAAAAAAATGAAGTGTATATATTTACATAATATACATATATACAAACGAACGCACCCACACACAGTGAGAAATAATGGCAAACTTATTATTATGCAATAAGCAGTGGCGCAGAAAAAGGAACAGAATAGGGAGAGGAGGAGTGAATGAGGAGGAATAAAGACAAAAGGCAATCAATCGTGCGATTGTGTGTGTGTGTGTATGGAATATATTTTATTTATAGCAACAAGAGGTAGGCTCGACATGGGGTTCAGGTGTCTCTCTCTGTATGGGTGTATTATACTCTCCCCCACACCACAAACACCACAACACCTCGCTAACCACACTCTCTATCTCTCTCACTCTGTGTGTTTGTCTCACTCTCCTGCCGCAATGACAACATCCGTGGAGAGAATGCAAATAAAAACAAAAAGTGTGGCATACTTTCAGGACGTGGTCCTGAAGAAAATACAGTGGGGATTTTTTAAATCTCCCAAGAAAAAGGGGAATTACATTAATTAATTATTGTTTTTTATAATTGATTTCATATTTTAATAGATTAAAGTGACTAAATTTGGTGCTTTTTGTTCCTTAATTCACTTGGAAATACTTATAATTACAGTACGGATTTAAACTCTCCAAAAAAGGGAATTTTTATTATTTAAAAGGGAAATTAAATGGGAATTTCATTTTTTAATGTATTAAATTAGCAAAATTTTGTGTTTTATACTTGCTATTTATCACATAATTCCCTTTGGTCATATATATATTTAAAAAATAGATTACAAATCTCAAAAAAAGTGAATTTTCATTTTTTAAACATTGTTATTAATCCTTAAGCTTTTATATTTTTGATTAAAATAAAATCTAAATTTCTTTTACTCTGCTCTCTTTCCTGATTCTACTTTAATATAGTATAATTATCTTTGCACACCGATGAATATTTACTGTTTACGCATTTTGCTTGTACTGCTCAATTAGCAGACTCTCTTTTCCCCCTGTATTTTTACTACACCTCCTCCTCCTCCCCCTTTTGTACCTTCTCTCCCTCGCTCTGGCCTTTTATCCACTTCCGCTGTGATTTCAAGTTTACTTTGCTTCGCTTTCAAGGGCTTTCTCTCCTTGCGTCTGTCTGTGTGTTTTTTTTCCCAGTGAATGTGTCCCAGTGAGTGTGTCCCAGTGTGTTGTCTTCTGCCATTGGCATTGACAAAGGCCCCCGCTATATAGTTGATGGCCATACTATACACCCCTGCCCCCCTCCTATAGCTTTTCCACCGGTTTTTCCTTCAGCTTTTCTCTGCTCTGCTCTCCACTCGTCTTCCTCACATTTTTACTGACCTCAGTCAGGGTCCTTCTAAGTGCTCTCACTTTGACCATCAAGCAGGGCACTTTTCATCTACACAGCAAACAATTGTATTGATTTTGTACATTTTCTAATTGTCTATAAATCTTTAGTTGTTAAATTGTAATTGTTCAAACTATATAAACACTATATTTTAAAATATATTTTGTTTTTCGAGTAGTTCCAACATTTAGCTCTGTGTAATACATTTTCTTAGCAGTTTTTTTTTCCCTTCAATCGCAATTCCATACATATATTGATTATTCAATTTCTTGGTCTTTGTTGACATTGCTTTTGCTGATTTTGTTTTTGTTTTTATTTTTCTTTTTAGCATTCGCTAAAGCGGACTAAATCAAGAGCTTATTAGTTGTTGTTTACCCCTCCATTCAAGTGTTAATGATGGTCAGTAGTTAATCTTCCAAAAACTGGGGAAAACTTTGGCTTTAAGATAGGTTGCTACTTTCACAGTAGGTTAATCAAGGGAAATTGCCATTCAAAGCTTTTTTAAAAGTTTTTAAACAACAAAATAACCTTCTATATTTATATAGTTCAAGTCAAAGGTATCTAAACATGTTAATCAGCTTCCTTTTGATAGTTTCAAACGATTTTAGCATGAAAAACATATATAGTGCACTACACTCATTAAAAGCTTAATTAAAATGGAAAATTGAATTCATTTCCAACATTTTCCCCGAATCAAAAGTTAATGAAAGAGAGTTGGCAAAAAGCAAAAGCACAGAGAGAGTGAGACGAACCTTTAGAGATGCAAAATGCAGCTATAGCATATTTAAGGCCAAAGGTCAGGGGAGTGATAAAATTACAGAACAACAAACAAGGAAAAGGATTTTCCCGGAAAATGCCAAAGAAATATTGCAGATTGTTTTGTGAGAAAGAGTTGTTGCCGTCACTTAAAAAGGAAAACTGCGTCGCAGTAACCAAGTGGGTGGCATGCATCGGAAGTTGGCCAAAACCGCAGAAATTGTGAAATTGCCAAACGCAGCTCGAAAAACCAACAATTTTTGCAGTCAGCAGCAAATTCTTGGGTCAACCTGCCTCACCGAGATGCAACAAGGGGGAAAACTTCACCCAAACCACCCATTTGTGACCAAAACAACCATCAGCAATATTCTCCACTTGCAAATATTTGTTAGCTTTGCTAAAAGGCGCCTCATTTCAAGTTGTTTACAAATTGAACATTTATTTTCTCATGTAAAATAATATCTCTCTATCTCAGCCTGTGAAGTCTCTTATTTCAACTTGATTAGAGAGGAATGCACAACGTATTTGGTTTCTTAGAATTATTAGTTTGTTTATAAGATTTTTCCTTATGAAAAATTGCTGGGACATTGAATCATTCCACGAATCATAAACACAACACCTGTTGTTGTGCCACAGAACCCCCTCCTACAGAGACTTGGTTTGCAAATTTTAAGCCTTTTGTTGGCCTTAAGTAAATATTGCTTTCAGTTTTAATTTAAATCCATTATCTTGTTTTGTTTTAACAGATTTTTAGATGATTTAATATAAAATTTATGACAAACTAATGGTTTTTGATAGGTATTTCTTTTAGAATATCTAACTATACCTTTAAATATAAATTGAAGTGATTTTTGAAGGTTTTTGAAATGATTTTGGTTTTGATTTATAAGATCTATAGATCTATTACCGAGATTCATATGATATAATATTGTTGTTTTAAATAAAACTGAAATTTATACTCTTTTCATGGCTTTAAGATTCTAGATATCATATAAACAACTAATTTTATTGAAGTTTTAAATATAACCCATGATTTGGAGATTAAATAACACTATACATTTGGAATACAATGGTTTTTTAAATATTTCAAATCCTTTCTAAGCTAAAATTTGAATATAAGGGTTCCTAATTATTTCAAAACCCTTTTTAAATTGAAATTTTAGCATTCTAAACAAGGTGTTTTTAAGGTATTTTCTTTTAATAATAAAACCTTAATTCTAAATTTGTACTCACCTTCTCAATGTTGTATTTCTCGAGGGCCTGTGTCGCGCAATCAACAGCATCCTGCTGCATCTCCTCGCTCATATCGGCATTCTTAATCACGGCCTTGCGATCAGACATTTTGACTGATTTGTGTTCGATCCGTTTATATCAAAATATATATTATATATACTGGCCAACTTTAGAGAGTTGGAGCGAGAGAGAGTTATATGTTTGAAGACCCTGTAGTATACCGCTGCTCACCAGTGAGTAGTATTTTTAACTGCAAAGAGAGTGAAGAGAAGAGAGAATATGGATGAGCATCACCAACTGCGGGAGAGGCGAGCGCATCCGAGAAATGTTATTAGCGTTTTTCTTCAATTAAAAGAGCGGGTTTTCAATCAAGTTAACACGCACACACACAACCGCCCACATGCGGACACAACGCAGGCGCACTGCATACTTTTTGGGGCCAGTTGCTGCAGCAGGCAGGCAATCTGCCTGGCAATTTAATTATAGAACCCAAGCAGCAGCAATATTACAAATCAAATATCAGAGCCACAGAATGACATATTAATGCACACACACATATGCATATATATTATATGCATATATGGCAACAGCAATTAGCCGGGGAAGGCAGCAGAAGCGAGATGGCAGCTGAAATGCAACATGGCCTTGAGCAGATGCGAATATTCTCTCTCTTTCTTTTGCCCACTTACTTCCCACTCTTACACACATGTACGGCCATGACAGAGGCTGGGAAGCAACAGCGAAACAACAACTAATTCAAATTCAAGGCTCTCTCACTCTCTCCTTCTCTCGCTCGATGTCCCTTGCTGCACTTGCTCTCTTCTTGTATTTTTTGGTAGCATACTTTTGCGAGCATTGCTATGTGGCATTGCTTATTAGTTGCTAACATGGGAGAAAGGGTGAGAGGAAGAGAGAGAAAGGGAGGATCAGATCAGAACAAACGCCAAAGCAAACACGGGCTAAATACCAAAATGCAAGCCACACACAGGGGGCCAAGGAAAGGGGGGGGGGGGTAAAGGGGGATACAAGCTCACTAAGTGCGCTTGGCATTTTGCAATTGCAAACCTCAAAATCAAAGGGCGAAATTGTGGACGGAAGGGCGTTCGTAGCACAGCAGCAACCGCAACCAAAATTTAGTTTCTACGACTAGTAGCCCCCACCTCTCCCATTTAGTGGCTAAAACCAAAGCGACCAGAAAGCCGGAGATAAAGCACACATAAGAGAAGCAGAGAAATGGTAAATCCTTATGAGCAAAAAATAATCACTGCAAATATGCAAGCTCAAACAAAGTTCAACATGCATGCGCATTCCTTTTTCGGGTAAACTAATTTGCCAAGTACAGTCGGGCCTCGAAAAGTAAGAATGCAAATGTAATATAACAAACAAATTATTGCATATAATGATAAATGCAATATTAAAAGCGAAGGACAAGAAAGTAGAGATCTACTTATTAAGCTTAATTAGCGAGCAGTAGGTTTTTGTTTCGGTTTTAAGAATAAGTTCTGGAAGAACGAAAGAAGAGTCTCCCGGATTGTTGTTTCCTAAAATTCGAAGCTACATTTCCTCCTCTTTCCTTTTGATCTTTTTTTGTGTTATTAAACTATTTGAATCTGTATCAATTACCTTTATCTCTTCGCAGGATTCTTCGCTTTACTGCACCATCCAACTTTTCGACAACTTCTTTTTTGGTTAATACAATTTCCGCGTCTGCCTTCAAAACCAGATGCACTGCTCCTCTACTTGCTCTCCTCTCTTTACAATTTATATTAATTTATCAATATCAAATGTTGGAGCTACTGACTCTGGACGTAATTTATCTGCAACTGAAATTAGTTCCGGCTCTTGTTTTTTTCTTGTATATATTTTGTATTCTACCCGGTTCGTGTATTTGACGTTTGACAGTAAAGTGCAGGGCAGAACAGACAAATCATAACGGCAACTGTCTGTCGAAACGGAAAGGTGAGGTGGGAAGGGGAAAGGAGAGCAGAGCTGAACAGAACAGAACACAGTTGACAGGTGGCCAAAGGCAATGGAGCGGGTGGGAGAGAGATGGCTATGCTGCTGCTGCTGCTGCTAGCTGCTTCTGATGATGCTTTTTCATCCGCTTCTTGTGATGAAGTCAATTAGAAACTGCATATTGACAGTTAAGCAGGCGATAGAGCGAGAGGGTGGGGGGAGCAAAAACTATGTTTATCATAAAAGAGGAGCGCGAAAGACTTGTTCTTTCACCCGTGCATACACACACACACACTCGCACACATCCACAGTGAAAATGAAATTATAAATGACAGGCTGACAGCGAAAAGAGATGGAGAGTGAGAGACCGAGAGAGATGGAGAATGGACCTGCCTGCACCTGCAAGTATGCAATGCTCTGTGCACACACATACGCGCGCACGCAGGGTAATTGAATTTCCCCCATGTCCATGTGAGCGCGTGTGTGTCCGTGTGTGCAATTGGAAACCCGCGATTTTTTTTCCCCTTGCTTGCCTTATTTTGACCCGCGCGCCCCCCTCTTCCATCATGCCACAGGGCACTCCATTCATTAGCACTCTGCCAAACTTGACAGATGAACCTGGGTCCCCGTCTCTAATTTTGCATTTCGATGGAAAGTTTCCGAGAACTTGAAGCGGAAATTGCTGACCAAAATGCCGAAATGCTGAAGCATTCATAATTATACCTGGTGACATGACGTCAACCCGAAAACTTGATTTCTACGCCTCCGGCTTCACAGACAAAAAAAAAAGAAAAAATATCACACACAAAAAAATATATATAAATCACAAAATAGCTTCACCATTATTTATGCATATTCCGGTTGCCGATATGTGGGAACTTTCGCATAATTAAAATTGCACAACTTGCATTCACAGAACATTCACACACGGTTTTCTTCACCTCCTCCTTCTTTCATCCATCCATTATTCTATGCAGTTTAACTTACCTCTAATTTCCGTTCATTGCGCGGGAAGTTTACACACTTTTTTTCGTTTTCGTACGATTTTCTCGCGTTTCGTGTTCAGAGTTCAACAGCTGTCACCAAAATGTCTAATAAAATATCTCAAACTTCAAAATGCAAATATGACGAGCGAGAAAAAAAAAATACGACAAAAAAAATACGAAAAAAAATATACTGCCAATGTATTAGCGGCTTCTGTGTGTGGAAGTGTGTTGGTGTCTCCTTTTACATTCTTGCATTCCTCTTTTTCTTTGCTTTTCTTCCTCTTTTTTTTTTTGTTGGTAGCAATCTTGCACGCAATACAAATTTAGCACGCCGCGGCTTTTTGCATTTTTTTAGAACAGAACTTTTGGTTGTGGTGGGGAAGGGGGGGGAGAACGAAACGTGAAAAAAAATGTATGATTCGTTTGGCGAATTTGGGGAAAATTCAGAAACCGGAGCGATGCGAAAAAATTCCCATATATGCTTCTTGTACTTGGTGTTGTGTGTGTGGGAGGGCTGTGTTTACCGCTAAGCGTACTCGTCGTGTTCGCCTGGATGGGACTGGAATTGATTTGTGTAGCACGTCGGCCTGACTGGATGACTTGGGCGCTTTGGTTAGTTTGTTAAACTGGCCGAGGGATTTCGATCGAAGGCGACTGGCGCCGACAAGCCAATCGTTCGCTGCGCTGATTGGCTGGCGCCGGGCGGCGTCTGGCAGGCCGCGTCTGGCGGGTGGCGTCTGGCAACAGTGTTGCGCAGCTCCCACATATCGGTTTGCCGATTGTCCTGGAATTGTGCTCATAGAGTGGCTGAAACTTAATTTTAGCCTACCAAAAGCCATTTATTAGGCAAAATGATTAAAAATTAGTGGATTTTTGTGGGAAAATTAACAAAATTGGGGCAATTAACCTTATTCGATGACTATTTTTACCTATTCGATAACAAGATTTTGAGAACGAGCATCTCAGGTGCCGGGTTAATCGACAGAGTTGCTTGCGATAAAAACAGCTGTGCGGGATTGCTAATTTATTAAATAAAATAATTAAACAAAAAAATATTAAGCATATTTAATAAAAGCCATTACTAGCATTAAATAATATTTTTTTTATTCTATTTTGAATTTATTTCTTTCCAGCACTAATATTTAGAGATAAAAACATAGGTTGGTCACACCTTTTTTCCTGAAAATATTATATTTTTAAATATGGTATAACAAATATTGCAAATATTTTGTAAAACTATATACATTTTATTAGTTATAGCTTTTAAACATAATTTTATGTAGATAAGAAAAATGCAGTTAAACTCTATAGCCATTTTTGGCGTGTTTATAGTTTCAGCTCGTAAAAATTTAATAATTAAGTTAGTTAATATTCAATAAACGTATTATTATTATAATTAATAGTTATTAAAAAATAAAATATTTATATATATTTGATATTGCAAGAAGTGCAGTAAATCTCAATGTACATTTATGGCACATTTAGTGTTTCAGCTCCTAAAATTTTAATAATTTAATTAATTATTATTAAATTTTTCAATATAACATGTTTATATATGCCGAAACGTGAAAAAAAATTAATAACGTTATATTATTAATATTATATATTTTTATATAATTTATTTGCGAGAATGTAGTTAAACACTATGGCCATTTACGGTATGTTTTATAGTTTAAGCTTCTAAAAATTTATTAATTTAGTTAATTAATTTAAAATTTTTATTTTTATCATGTTTATATATGGCGGAATGTATTTTTATCAAATTTTTCAAATAAAACTTTAATTGAAATTATTATTTTTATTATTATTATTTTTATAAATTTCTATTTTTGCATTTTCATTGTTATAGTGGTTAAGAATGTGATGTATTAATTGTATTCTTAATTTTAAATTATTACTATTTTATAATTTAATATAATTGAAATTCCAAAAACTGTAGTAAATGTCAATGTACATTCATTGCATGTTTAGAGTTTCAGCTCTCTCAAAAAAAAAATTTTGTTTATTTGGTGTTTATTTGTTTAGAAAATACATTCTTATAATTACATATTACAAGCCATATACATTTTTTGCCTCATGACCGTTTATATACTCATATTTTTAAAGATTTAATTAATTAAGTAAGAAAAAGTATATAACTATCGATGAACCATCGGTATCCAACCCTCATCTACGCGTTTAGTATTTTTTCTGTACTGCAGGGAAGTGGTATTTTTCTTCTACTTTCAAAACGGTCGCACGCTTGCTTTCTATTTGATTTCTCGTCTTATTTTTTTCCAACGATTTTTGTTAACAATTTACCGTGCATTTTCTTGTGTGTGTAAAAGTGAACGCGCTTGAAGAAAACAATCTGTGTGAGCAAAGTGAAATTCCTCGAATTGCAACGAAAATGCTGACAAACAACGAATCATCAAGGTGAAACTGCGCGCCCCACAGCTGGCATTGACTCTTCACTCTCCTATCTTCGTGTATATCGGCTCTCTCTCTGCTGATATTAACCCAAGTTCCCGCCCCCCTCGAATACATCCTTATTTTGGATTATAAACAACATTTGATTTTGGAACGAGGCAGGAGGAAATTTTTTGGCGGCGATTTTACAAAATACAAAATACTAAACATACAGCAACAGTAACAACAACAACAAGAGGAACGGCGCTAGATGGAGCACGCACACACACAGAGTAGGCGAACGTAAATACGTTGGAAACAAACGCACACAGATACAGTAACGTATTGTGAATAGTACTGTGTGTGTGTATAGTCATCTCACTTTAACAGCCACGGCAAGGCAGCGCATTGGCTGACAGAGCGAGACGGCTAGACGCGCGCCTGGTGTTCGCTTTTCCTTCTTGTATTTTTTTGTATTTTTTTTTCGTGTTGATGTACGTGTGCGAGAGTGCCAAATGTCATCGGAAATTACAACACTGCGAGACGTTTAGAAGGCAGCAGCAGCAGCACCAGCAGCAGCAACAACAACTGGAAACGGGCTGTGGAAGAGGAAGAGCAGCCAAAGCTGAACAAGAAGAAGAAGAAGCTGCAGCAGCAGCAAAAACATAAACAAAAACACACAAACAGAAATTATAACAATGTTGCCAGCAAAAGGTAGCAGTATCAACCAGACCACTACCAACACCAATAGATGCCTCATCAAGTCGGCCATTGAACGAACGGTGGTGCGTTTAAAGGAAACGGCAAATAACAGCGCGGAGCAGGATGTGACCCAGGTGGAATACGATATTATTAACTACTATGCGGATACCGCCACGCCCCGCATTGCCACCGTTAGTCCCCACCATCATCATCACCAGCAGCAGCCATTGTCATCATTGTCGTCGTCCTCCTCCGCCCGTAGCAGTAGCAATCACAACAACGGTGAATGCCATCCAGCATTGGATGCCAGCAGTGTTGTTGTCGTTGCACCGGCGAGAAAAATTATGCCGCCTGGAAGCATGGAAATGGATGTGGATGCGACGGAACCACCAGCGAGGCCTTTCAACCAAAAGAATCGGGAACGGGAGCAACTACAGCCGGAACAACAATCACAGCTGGCGACCCGGTCTCGGGGCGGTGGTGGCGCCGTACAATCCCGTTTCCGTCGTCATCCGCGATCACATCATAATGACTGCAGCACCAGTTCCAATTCCAATTCAAATTCACCAAACAGCAGCGCTTCCAGTGCTTCCAATCCCTCGCCCTGCTCCACACTGGGCGTGAATATGCGCGTAACGGGACAGTGCAGCCAAGGAGGAAGGAAGTACATGGAGGATCAATTCTCCGTTGCCTATCAGGAATCACCGCTAACCCATGAGCTGGAATATGCGTTCTTTGGCATTTACGATGGCCACGGCGGCCCGGAGGCAGCGCTATTCGCCAAGGAGCACCTAATGCTGGAGATTGTCAAGCAAAAGCTGTTCTGGTCGGATAATGATGAGGATGTGCTGCGAGCCATAAGGGAAGGATATATTGCCACGCATTTCGCCATGTGGCGAGAACAAGGTGAGCTTATTAAAATAACTAAAAATCACAAAGCATTGGGTATAGCAGAAAAATTACACCACAGTCTGTGCGTTCAGTAAAATAACAAACATACAGATCATATTCATTAGAAATATGACTTCCAAACCCCCTCTGAGAATCGAAATGAGTATAAATAGTATGCGCTTCCAACATTTTCCATGGAAAATGCACCATTTTGTATTTGTATTTTTCCCCCATGTTAAATTTAAACAGTTCAAATGTCCGTTAGCGATGTACCCCTGCAACTTTTAGTCACGCACGACTTTTGATTTAGGCGCCCATTGGAAGTGCACAGGCACACACACACACTTGCTGATTTGCCAAACCTGGTAAATCCCCTGTTATCAGGGTTGCCGTTGCTGCCGTATTGAATCCCCCACCAACAACAACAACAAAATTAAAGTGACCCCATAAAAGCATCAGCCATCACTCTCCCACCTCTAGGCAATTATGCAACCGTGTGTTTGTGGCGCGCGGTGACTCAACCATCGCTCAACCGCTCATCTCTATTGTCTGCCCACTCTCGCACGCTCACTCGCACAACCACACAGACAGCGGCAGTTATCGCTGGGCGAGTGGAATATTCCACGGGCTTGCCATATGGCTGTACTCCCGTTAAAGGCTGTACTCTGGCAACCCCGCTACGGTCTCTAGCCATGCGTTAGAGCGGGTCCACCATATAGATTGGTGGCGCGAACTCATGAAGGCGTTTCGAAACGACAGAGAGAGAATGGAAGGCACAGAAGAGGAGAGAAAATAAATGTGTGCCCATTTCCTCTTTGCCATGACTAAACTAAATACAACAAAAATGAAATGAGAAATTCAAGGGATGCCAGATACATGTAAATAGACATGCGAATGCATGAGTGTGTGTGTTTATGTGTGGGAAATATCAATATTTAACCATGTTTTGATATTTTTTGTTGCTGTTTCCCCCAAAGATAATACCTAACCATTTTTAGCGCAAAAATACTGAAAGTTTTATTGATTTAAAAAAATCTGTTGGGCTGGAAATGGACTTTCTATTCAAAAAGTTTGTGAAAGTTTCATAAACATTTAAATTGAATTTTGAAATTACATATATGTATATTCATTAAATCAAGAAACACACCTTTATTATTTCACAATATGATGAAATGATTATTTTATTTCATATCACGGAAGAATTATTATTAGCATTATTAGAATATTGCTTTAAAAATGTATAATTTTGGAATGAAGTTAAATATGTTTTTAGCTTAACAGCAAATAAATGCACTTAAAATAAAATATAAGTACCCTTTGCGGGTATTTTAATTTAAATCATAAGCTTGTAACTATGTGAAGGAATAATTTCCGACCCTATAAATCATATATATTCTTGATCAGCATGAAAAACTGAGTCGATCTAGCCATCTCCGGGATAAAATAAAATTTTTAAATTTTTTCAATATTTTTAAAGGGGTATAATCGTTAAAATTAAAAAAAAAAAAAAATTGTAAAAATTTGAATTTTTGAAAATGTTAAATTGAGTATGCAGATTTATAAATCTAATAAAAACTAACATAGGACAGCTTTCCGATTTGAAATTAATACATTTTTGGCTTAGTTATGAGTTTTTTAAACTATGATTTTTCATAGGAATGTATTATACTATTATTTTGTATTATTTTATATTATAATTTAGTCGGAAGCTTCTAAAACTGTGAAGGAGTCATTTCCGACCCTATAAATCATATATATTCTTGATCAGCATCAACAGCCGAATCGATCTAGCCATCTCCGGCATAAAATAATAAATTTTATTTTTTTCAACATTTTGAAGGGGTATAATCGTTAAAATTAAAAAAAAAATTTGGTAAAAATTTGAATTTTTGAAAATGTTAAATTGAGTATGCAGATTTATAAATCTAATAAAAACTAACATAGGACAGCTTTCCGAATTGAAATTTATACATTTTTGGCTTAGTTATGTGTATTTTAATTATTTTATTAATTTTCCACCTTAAAAATTACAAAATTAACTTTATTACCATTTTCTTTTGCAGAAAAATGGCCTCGCACTGCCAATGGACACCTGAGCACCGCTGGAACCACTGCCACCGTGGCTTTTATGCGTCGGGAGAAGATCTATATAGGCCATGTCGGTGACTCTGGCATCGTGCTGGGCTACCAGAACAAAGGGGAACGCAACTGGCGTGCTCGTCAATTAACCACGGATCATAAACCGGAATCGTTGGCGGAAAAGATGCGCATTCAGCGATCCGGTGGCAATGTGGCCATTAAATCTGGTGTGCCTCGTGTCGTATGGAATCGACCCAGAGATCCCATGCATCGTGGACCGATCCGTCGCCGCACCGTTGTCGACGATATACCCTTTTTGGCGGTAGCCCGATCTTTGGGTGATCTCTGGAGCTACAATTCTCGATGCAAGGAGTTTGTCGTCAGTCCCGATCCCGATGTTAAGGTGGTCAAAATAGATCCTAGTACATTCAGGTGAGTTTGGTCTTTAAATTCCATTTAGAACTGTTTAAAAGTGAGATTTTAATCCTACAGATGCCTCATCTTCGGCACCGATGGCCTGTGGAATGTGGTAACCGCCCAGGAAGCGGTGGACAGTGTACGCAAAGAGCATCTAATTGGCGAGATACTCAACGAACAGGACGTAATGAATCCCAGCAAGGCGCTGGTCGATCAGGCCCTCAAGACCTGGGCCTCCAAGAAGATGCGGGCGGACAATACGTCCGTGGTAACTGTGATATTAACACCGGCAGCCTCTCACCATTCGCACAACTCTCACATAGCAGCCGTCACTGCCCAGGCTCAATCTGCACTCGCCCGTGATCCCGATATGGATGTGGAGCTACTGCTCGAGGTGGAAGACAATGAGGATGATGAGGGGGATGATGATGCACCGGTGGATATCGAAAATGATTGTCCGCAGGACTTTCTCATCGAGGAAGAGGAATATGTCCTCGATACGCCGTACAGTGCCTTGGCCAAGCGTCATTTGCCACCAGAGGCCTATCGTGATTTTGATTACTTTGCCATGGACGAGGATACGCCCGATGAGGATGAGGATGAACCCGAGGAAGACGAAGAGGAAGTGCAGCAACACAAACAGACCACTGTTGAGAATGATAAACATCAACAGAGCTTGTTTAATTCGCGAAAGACATGGCGCAAATCGACGTGGAATGGTGAAACCGAATTAGAACCTGATCCTGAACCCGATGAGCATCGTCCTGCATTGGACATGTGCGCCATATATGCCAACTCCATTGCACCAGCGCCGACAGCAGTTGCAGTAGCAGCAGTAGCAGCAGCAGCAACAAATCCAGCTGCGAATAGCGAATTGGAACAGCATTTGGAGAGTAGCTATAGCTTTGCCGAGTCCTATAATACCCTGCTAAACGAACAAGAAGAGCAAGAGGCACGTTCCCGTTCAGCAGCGGCGGCAGCAGAGGCGGCAGCTGCAGCAGGAGCCACATCATCCAACCAATCCTCTGTACATTCCCCCTCCGTTGTGGTGGATCGCAGTATGCAGGAGATAATTCAAGAGCAGCAGCACTATCAACAACAGGAGGGTTACTCCCTGACGCAACTGGAAACAAGACGCGAACAGATGCAGCAAGAGAGAGAACAGGAACCACAACAGGTCAGCGCAGGAGTGGCGGAGGCATGGCAACAGCCCGCAGAGCTGCTTGAACTGGATGCTTTGCTGCAGCAGGAGCGAGCCGAAGAGGAGCAGGTGGCCCTGGAGCAGCAACAGCAACAGCAGCAACAGCAGCAGCAGCAACATCACCGCGAACAGCTACAAATGGAGGTGGCCAGCAGCAGTTCAGGTCAACAAGAGTTTAGTTTCCCAACTACCAATTGGAGTACCACGCTGCCCAAACAACACCATGTCGATGAAGATATCAATGACAGCGAAATGGCCATAGCGATGGAAATGGATATGGATCAAGAGCTGCAGGATAATGAAGTAAGTTCCACATTGCCGGCAACACCAACCCGGCAAATGGAACAAATGACTGCAACAGCCTTGCCACAAAATAAAGAAGATCAAACAGAGATCAAGGAAGAGGCATCCCAGAAAAAACGCAAACTAGAGAAGCCAAATCAGGAAAAAGAAATGGAACAAGGTCTTGCTGCTGTCCTCGAAACGGTGGCTGAAATACGCAAAGAAGATGCCCATGCCGTCCACTATATCTTTGAGCAGATCCAAAAGCTGCAAGAGGCTGAAATCTCACCGGCGGTGGCCAATCCCGGTGTGGAGGAAGCCCTTGAGCTAGCCAGTACTCTGGCCACTAGTGAGCCGCGAATGCGTCAAATGCGACGATATCGCAATGTGCCCAATGAGAATCATCAGCACATGCAAACGCGGCGACGTCAGATCTTTAAGCATGGCAAACCCAAGTCCTTTATCAATGCCAGTGCAGCCGCAATTGTGGCTTATAACGATACCAGCAGCAGTGGAGTTGGAGGAGCTAGTGGTTCGGGCGGCAATACCATAGATCGTGTGGGAGGCGGAGGCGTAGGTTCAGCCAGCGGCAGCAATTCATCAGCGGTTGCGGTGACGCCTGTCAATCGCCGGCGTACCGTCAATGTGGTGGCAGCGGCTGCCACTTCGAGTGGGAATAGCGGTGGCATGACAACACGACGCAGTCACAATCACAGCCTGAGCGCCAGCGGAAGTGTTAGCAAGCGTCAACTGCGCAGCAGCCTCTGCAATCTGGGTCTGGGCTTGGGACTAAGCCATGACATTACCAAGCGAACGTTGAGGACTAGAAATGTGCCCGGTACACCGCCAGCGGTTGTTGTTAATCCTTCGCCAACAAATGGAGCCAATGGCACACAGATAGCCCCCAGCACACAGCGTGTTGTTACCTCAAATCCGGACAGCAATAGCAACAGCAGCAGGGGCAGCAGCAGCAATAACAATAGTTCAAGTGCCAGCAGACGCCTGAAACGTGGTCACAATGATCGGGAGCAGAGACGTAGCCTGCGAAGGAGCACCCTAAGTGCCAGTTCCATTGGTGGTGGTGTGGCAGCCCAATCGAAGCCAACTCGTCTGCAGGCCTGCAATGGAGCCATCTCAGCCAGGCCACCGCCGTCGCCCAAAAAGCTAAATACATCAGTGCCCACGTTGGCCATTGGAACAAGAGCTTATACGGCAGCATTGGCAGCGGCAGCGGATCATTTGAACAAGCGATGGTCCCTACGGAGCAGTAGCAGTGGCACTGGAAGTATGATGACGGCCATTAGTTGTTATAGTGCCCGCAGCCGAGCAGCAGCAGCAGCAGCGGCGGCAGCAGCAGCAGCAGCCGCTGGAGCAGGAGCAGGAGCAACAGCTGTAGCAGGCATGGGCACCGGATTCATAGGAAGCGGAGCAGCAACAGGATCAGCTATTAACGGACCGGGTGGAGCCTCACGGCGGCGTTGAGAAATCCCAAAATAAAATTAAAATAACAAAATGAGCGAGCAACTTGCAAGTACAAATCCTAAGCAACGGAAAACCTAAACAAAAAAAAAAACAACAACAACAAATCGAAGAAAAAATCTATACAAATTGAATTGTAATCGAAATCCTTTGACAGTCTTGTCCTTTAATTATAATGAAAAGAAAATTTTTGTATGTGCACAACACAGACACAAAAACACACACCGACAAAACAATTAAGATGATATCGTTGTAAATGTAAATAGCGGCGTTATAGAGAGCTATATATTATTATGGCACACGCAACATATATATATTTATAACTAAACCATTAATAATAAAATAAATTCATAGCTCTAAGATCGCATCTAGCATATAGTATATAGAGATATATATTATATATATAAATATATAATATAGAGAGATATATAGATGTAATATATATATATATACATATATATTTTTTGTAATGCCAGGAAGGTCTTCTCTTGATTTTCTTCGTAAATCATTGTATTTCTAAGTTTAAAGTACTTTGACTCCCGTGTATTGTCCTTTTTTTTATCATTACTATTATTATTATTATGGACTAAGCTACACTCCTAAATTTAAGTTAAAGTTTAACAAATGAGAGATGCTAATAAGTTTAATAATCTTCATATATATATTATTTTGTCCGTGTATTTATTTGCTGTCATTTCGTGCTATCGCATTATCCAATGAAATACATATGATATTTTTCCATAATTAATTTCTGCTGAAGTATTATTATAAATTTAAGGGTATGGAGCTTCCTATGCACTTGCAGGACCTCAAATCTGATTGTCTTTTATTATATATTGACTCTGGACCAGCTATAAAGAAAGATCTATATCACAGAATCTTCAAGTGTATCTGACAAAGAATACATATTTGGATTTCAATCAAAATGTTACTTAATATTAACTCGTTATATTTATATTATATTTTTTTTGGAAAAACTAAATGGTAAATGTGGCATAACAAACCCAAAAAACCTTTAAATTCTATTTGGAAAACATTTATATGCTAGTTTTTATTAGGTTAACAAACCAGAACATAAAGTTTAAAATTTTAAAAAAATTAATTTTTTTTTTTAATTTTTTGATAAATTTAACTACTTAGCCCCCTAAAAATTTTGAAAAAAATTAAAATTTTTGTTTTCCAAGTGACATAGCTAGATCGACTCGGTTTTTGTTCCTTATCATGAATATATATAATTTATGGGGTCGGAAATGACTCCTTCAGTGCGAAATTGTAATACCCTGCCAGGGTACAATATATAAGTTTTGGAAATTTTTATATAATTTCTTTTTTATATAACCGCTTTATGTTTATTTTTATTATTTTTATAAATTATAAATATGATTTTTAAATTGAATTAAAATTAAATTAAACCGTCTTATATTATATATGCAAATATGTGAAAAAATAAAAATACCATATAAAAAAATCTTAATTTTTATATTATTTTTTCAAAAGTTATATGTACACATGTATATGATATATTTTACCGATTTCCATAAAAATAAATAACAAATTCAGGAATAATACAAAATTGTCATATCTCAAAATAGATGAAAATATTTAAAAACATGATAAAATTATATATTTTTTTTCTACTAACTTCCTGATCCCTTCTATGGAAGCTATAAAATATAGAATTCCGATTTTTATAAAATTAAAATAAAAATTATTAAATATTAAAATCTAAAAATTTTATATTTTTTTATTTTCTTGACGAGAAAAACTTTAATTAAAGAAAATTTGACGTTCTTAAGTACTAATTCTTATAAAAAATATCACCAGCCGAGTATATCTAGAAATGTTTCTTTGTTAAGCAAAAAAACGCAGTCGATGTACTATGCCATTTACCGGACTTTTAGGGCTACAAATTAATTAACATTTTTCAAATTATTATTTATTATTATTCTATATAAACCAATAACTTGTTTTGTTCTAAAAAAATATTACATTTAAAATTATTTTTTATAATTCTAATTTTTGTAAATTTAATTTTTCTAACAGAACTGTTAACTCGCCATGTTAACTGCGCACAGGCGATCAATATCGATAGTGATAGTTAGCTATTTACGATAGTATTGACTATAATATCGATGTCTCGCCTTTCTAAAAACATCGATAGTACCGATGGCAACATCGACTGTTTCGCATCTCCTTCGTTCGGAAATTCTCGTTTTTAACGCGCAGAAAGTGTTTGCTAAATAAAACTGAACATGTAAAGGCTTTAGCCGATTCGTGCGGTGGGATCGGTCATAAAGATTCGAGTTGTTCGCGAGTTCCAAAGCGGCAATTAAAGGTGTGAATAACAATTTGTTTCCGTGCGTGTGTATGTGTGTTGGTGATGGTAACAGGAGTGAGTGGGAGTGAGAAAGTGCGTTTTTTTTTTTTTTTTCTTCCTAATGCATTTCTTGTCTCCATTTGAAGTTGTTATAAATAAGAGGCTGCCTGTTTAAAGTGGCAAGTTCAAGTTTAGTGGCACTTTAACTTCAATGGCCTGGCAATTGGCTCAATTCAGTTCAATTTCTGCCGTTTTATTTACACTTCACATGTGCGTGCGCTCCTTGATAAGAATGTTTATCTGTGTGTGTGTGTCTGTGTAAGTGAGTGTCTGCGACTGCAACAGAAAGAAAAGAAACCGAAAGGAGAGGGAGGAGAGAGAACAGCAACTACAACAACAAACATGATGAGTCCGCCGCCATTGAACAAATATTTATTATTAATAATCATATTTCCACCGACTTGAGGCCGGGCAAAGAGTGAAAAGCAATAGCAATAGCGATAAAGTAGAAAACCGAAACCAACGACGCCAAGTTGAAGAATTTCTGCTTCCTCAAATTACGGCAACCTGAAGTTATAAAAAAAAGAGTGGAGTGAGAGGAGTGGGGTAGGGTATCCAATGCACCCCCGCCCCCTTGGCCCACACTTAGTGGTTATTCTTGTTAGTTGCTGTCGCCGTTTGCTTTTGTTTTAAGCTTTTCTGTTCGCTGGCAAACTCGTTTTGCTTGACTTTGATAAAACTACTCTTACAATAAAAGTAAAAAAGTAACAAAAAACAAAAGGAACTGGCACACAGACAGAGTCTTGAAAAAATGTAGAAAATTGAACAATCAGCAGAAAGAAAAAGAAAACAGCTTGCAGTTGCACTTTGAATTTCCTCAATAAAAAATTATAAAATAAAATCAAATAAAGCTAGAAGAAAAGAAAAGGAAAGAAGTAAGGAAATAAGCCAACTATCGTTATCTCTATTCCTCCTTCTTGTTTACTTCTTGGACTACGCTACAACTGTCCATTTGCTCCTCCTCCTCCTTTTGAGCTCCATTCTCAATCCCGCTAATCGGAGTCAAAGGAGAGCCGAGAGATAGAGCACCCTACTTCTCAAGCGTGGGGCTAGTTGGTTATCGCTTAAGTTATATGTAAAGTAGAGGGATCATTAATATTGACTTTAAGCCTCTTATTTTTAATAGATAATACATATTAAAATTGCTATTATATGTAGAATTAATTATGTAGAAGTTAATTGCATGTAGGTTTGAATAAGGTATCAACAAGTCGTGTACGTCCTATGCCTCTCTCTTTTACAGGGCACAAGAGAGCGTTGTGCAGTTTTAGCCGCTGTTAGGGCTGAGAATATTTTGAGATAGCAAAAACCAGATAGAAAACAAGATAAAGATAACAATTTGTCCGATAAATAATTAATTAAACTTTAAATAATCAAACTATTCATTTATTTTTTAAATATATAATTTGTTTTAAATTAATGGGAAAAGAATGTGTATTTACAGAATATTTACTAAATTTACTATTCAGCTCCCTTTTTTTAAAATATAATTTAGTTATTTAAAATAAAATATAAGCTACGCATTCCTATAAAAGTTAAATTTAAACCATATTTCGAATTTAAAACAGATAAATCTGTCGGCAAAAAGAACTTGCCAAACTTGGCATCTCTAATCCTGGCTGTCCGTTTGACTCTCTTTTGGGTCGGCTCTCTCGCAGGAAAGGCTGAGCGTGGGAGAGCGCCTGTGTATGAAAAGTAGCTCTCTTTGTTATTGCACTTTTGACTAGAGGTGGGAAAACCACCGATAATTATGGCACTCGATATAAGCCGTGATTTCCTGGGCCGCTGTTTAAATCAGGATAATCGTTAATAACATAATTTAATAAATTTTGCTACAGTTTCATATTGAAATCTAACATTTTTAAGGTGGAGGTACTGAATAACAGGATTTTTTTGTGTAAATGTAAAAAATAATGGAATTACAGGAGTAGATACGTTTTTGTGTAGCCATGTTTTCCACCTTTCATCAAAAACCAACACCAGTTGTGACCTCTTTCGATGTTATCTACCTCCTCTATGGGAAAAACTTGACAGACAATACGCAACATCGATATTTGGGCAAGTAAAATATCGCGATATAAATATATCATTTTGATATATCGATGTATTGATATTTTGATACATTTTCAACAACCCTCCTCCATTCAGCCCTATTTCAAAAACGTCTCGGTCTCGGAGAAAGTCGGAAGTCGTGTGTAGTTACATCCGTGTGTCCGAGAAATTGCCGGGTCAAGAAGTATCCGCGGATATTTCGGGGATAAAGATTGCATGTGTGCAAAAGTCGTGGAGTACCGTCGCTGATAACATGATATTTTGATAAATATCTTTTTTTTTACTTCTGCCAACTTCCGACGGTCAGAATATTGTGTGGTGGTGAGCGGGAGGACGAAGCAGAGGACGTGGAGGAGGCGGTTGTTCGCGAATCGGAACGAGTCGGTAACGAAACGAAACGGTAAATGAAACAACGCCCTGAACTCGCGATTTGAACTGAAGGAGGTTCTATATCGTCCTGTTTGAATATATATATATATATAAATAAACCAAGCGATTGGTAGAGTGATTGAAATAGAACAAGTGCCCATGAAAGCCTTTTTAAATTATCAGAAATTGCTGCAAGTTTTCGCACATTTCCCATATCCTGTTTTCTTTTTTTCTTTTTGCGGAATCAAAACAAACCGCAGGCGGGCTTTACATGTTGTGTGTGTGTGAGTTGGAGAGTGTGTAATTGAGTTCGATTGATTGTGTCATTTCTCCCCTTTGTTTGTTTGAATCAAAGAGCAGTGCATTTTTTTGCAATTCAGGATTTTTCATAGTCTTGTGTGTGTTTTTTTTTTGGGTGTGTGAAAAGTGAAAGTGAAAATTTAGAGCAGCGGGCAGGACGCGCGTGTGAGAGAGAGAGCGAGACAGTGGAGAGAGAGCATGCGTTGTTGTTGCTTTTGCAACAGGACCCTTGCTTGCTCTCTCTTTTGGCTCTCTCCTAACGGTGCTCTCTGGTTTTCGTTTGTTCTTGCAGCCGTGCCGTGTCTCTATCTCTCTCGGGCAACAGCATCAGGAGCAGCGGCAGCAGCATCTGCGGCGGCGGCGGCGGCGTTTTGTGACGTCAAAAGCAGCGACGTCCTTCGCTGGCAGACTCGCACACACACACAGACACACACACACGCAGACGCACCAGGCACACCGACAGACACAATACCCCACACTGAAACGCCCCCACCCGTAAGAATATAACGCAAAAGTATCAGAGGAAGAGAGCAAGGGAGGAGAGCGATTTATATTCCTTTGTGGCCGCGAGTGTGCATGTGTGTGTGCAACTACAACTGCAGAAGCAACAACAAAAACAACAACAACAACAACAGCAGCAACAAAAATGGAACAACCAAGTATTCTCGTCAAAATCCTGCACTCGATTCCGCACGTGAATTACACATTCCGTCGGGTTAACGACACCTTCAATCCGGATAGCGATGTTTACCTCGAGGTGAGTACTGCTTTTTAAGCTTAAATAACGGTAAATAATAGTGATGGTTAACGGATAAATAACACTGGGATTTTGAGAAATGCAACGGGAAACTAGAAAACTATTTTGTGTCTAAGGGAAGTGCATTATAACGGGCGGGGAGAAGCAATTACCTTAACGGTATCATATGGTATAGAGTATAGAGTATAGAGGGGTAATTAAGCTATAGAGAGGCTTTAAACTACTCAAATTATTAAAAAAAGAGTCGGGGTTTGAAAGGGAGCTAAAGCAAGGTTTAAAAATGTTTATATTAAAAATAAATTATTTATAAATATTATTTTACATGTTATATGGAATGAATTCAATTTAAAACCAATCTTCAAATAATATACGTTGATAAAAATAATGGAAGTATAACAATAATTGGAAAGATCGAAAGAAGAAAGGATGTTGAAAGCTTTGTTTTGCAAAATATACAAAATAGTAAAGTTATTTAAGAAGAAACGCTGAAAATAAACTAGGGGAATTGCGGAATTAAAGTAAAAAGCATTATAGATTCATATTTATCCAGAAGTCCTGTATTTATAATTACCAGAAATCAAAAAGAAAGTATAAATCTAAGATAAAAGTTATAGATAACACCTCTTAAGAAGGCAAATAATGAGAGATCAAAGATCTTTGCAGAACTAATTAGAGAACCATTAAACTTTTCATAGAACTATCAAATATGGTTAAATAGAAAAATACCCTACTATGAAGTATCTCGAATTAAATAAACACTAATCACAGATGTTTACTAGGGGATTCCCCGAAAACTCACTACATTTCTAGACACTTTGCCTCCCCAGCAATTATAAACAAAAGTCTTAGATTCATTTGTATCTTATCCAGAGAGTACCCTACTATATATAGTACTTATTATATATATAGGGTACTTGTGCATAATGGGCATAATATGTAGCGCCTCTTCTTTGCCTCCTTTATTTTTTTTTGTCAGTTATTCCAAGTGCCACTTGAGCGGAACTCTTGAGCCTCAAGCACTTGAGATTCGAGTTTTTTTCAGTCTTCAGTTTTGAGTTTTGAGTTCCATCTATTTTGGAATTTCGGTCTGTCGTGTGTGTTTTGTGTCTTTTGTTTCGGTTTGCTTTTCATTTTTCCTTCCTTTCTATTCATTTCTTTATCTGTTTTTTGTTGTTGTTGTGTTTTTCTCTTACCTGCAATTGCATAAAAGGAAGACAAAGGGCAAAATACAAAAAAAGGGAGCGTGGAAAAAACGCGTGGATAAATTTCAATTTCCATTGCCTGACCCCTCATACCCCTCTTCCCGTTTCGTTTCCACTCTGTTCCGCTTTAGCCATGTGCAGCAGTGTTGCCAGGTGATGAGCGCCCATATAAGCTAGATTTAAAAAAAAATAAGCTAGAATAAGCTAAATAATTTTTAAAAAATGCGAAAAAACAAGCTACACCCAAATATGAGAAAACACGAAACATATAATATATATTATTATATTATATGAATTTGTTATTATTAAAGAAAGTCTTAAAAATATGTTCTTAAAGTAAGCACTTAAAACAAATTAGTTAATATTTCATCAATTCCTTCATGTTGTTCGTCGCCGAGTGTTCGGCAATGAACAAACAAAGCGCTGCTTCCTGATCCTGAGTCTTGCAACACTTAGCCGGAAAATTTATTTTTTGCGATTCAGCAACTGATCTCATTGATAAAATGTGCTTTTTCGATGCCGCATGCTGCCTGATTTAAAAAATTTTGGCTGATATTGTCGACTTACAGTAGCAACAATATGCTTTGGTTCCTTCTCCTGGCACTTAAATTCGTTGTTTTGGAGCCAAGCATCCCGAAAAATCTGTTTATATATAACTTTCGGCATTTTGAGGACACGCTTTACCTATTTTCACAACACAACAAAATTATTGGTGGTAACACTTCAGCCAACAAATCGATCTCCGATGACACTTTCGATTAGAAATAAGTTCACGATCACATAAAATGCACATAACCATCGGAAAAAAAGAACAAACTCCAATATTTTCATGCTATAAAGCATATTTTCGTAAAAAACATTCCGTGGATGTCAAAAATACATAAAAAGCTAAAATATGCTAGATGAATTTTAAAATAAGCTATATTTCAAGCTATAAGCTAGATGGAAATTTTTCAAGCTTTTCTAGTTTCAAATATGCTAGAACTAGCTTATAATAAGCTAACCTGGCAACACTGATGTGCAGCCTCTCGTTTTATCCTGCTCTCTCTCTCTTTCTCTCTCTCTCATTTGCAGCTGTTTCAATTTCATTTTGTTCCCGCCATGTGCGCTACATGTGACGCCTCTGGGCCTAAAGAGGGGATTTTTTTGTGTGTGTGTGTGGAGAGGGGGCGGCAGCTGCACACTTCCGGCTTCCTTTTTCGGCTCTTTTCCCTTGTTATTCTACCTTCCTCCTCCTGAGCCCCGTTTTCCCATTTTATTTTTGTGCTCGCTTTGTTTCGCCCCTGACCAGCGATCATGTCCTTATCTCCCTCACATCTTTACCGCTATTATTTTTGAGCAGTGAGTGGAGGAGGAGGAGGAGGAGGAGGAGGGGTGGAGGAGCAAAAGGACGACGCCCTTTTAACCGGCTTCGTTATCCTTCCTGCCTACCTCCCTCCCTCTCAATCAACATATGCAAATTGTGGGTTTTTTTCACTTGGTTTTACATCCTGCTTCCTTCAGAAAATCATTGCTAAAATCGCAACGGGAAAATTTGATTAAAATTAGCTGACTTTCGTCCTTCTCCTCTACTCTCTCCTCTCTACTATTATATTCTATCCTCCTTTTTCCTTGATGCTGTGGAAAATGCCGGCTTCTAGTCTGTGTGTGTGTGTGTGTGTGTGTGTGTGTGTGCGAAAATTCAGGTCAGCTGGCTCAGAGCTACGCTACGGCTTCGGGTTTTTCTTTTTTGGGCTGATTTTGTGTGTGTGTGTGTGTTTTTCGCCGATGCGTTTGCCATCGTTGACGTTGTCGTTGTTGTTTGTTTCTGTTGTTGTTGTTGCATTTGGACATGGACGTGGATGTAGGTCAGGCTGCAGCACCAAAGCTTCGGGAAAAGGAATGAGGAGGTAGGGGGGAGGTAGGGAGGTAGTAGGTCGGGTCTCCTGGTTTTCGGGGCGTAGTTTTTACGCGCGTCAGCAAAAGTCAGAAGCCGTGCACTTTTCTAAAAAATGAGTAGGAAAAACTTATTTATTTTCATTTAGAGATTTTTAATTTGATTTTATTTAAGAAAAATATTCATTTAAATATGTTTTAAGACCCTTATTATCCCCAAAATCATTAGAACATAACTTTAAAGTTGCTATTTAACTTAAGAGCCACTTGCTGACTTATAATTCTCAAGTAAGGAACATGATTGTGATGACACTATAATTCCCAAGTCCCCTTGACTTATATTTATTTAAAATCAGAGAACTTTAATCAGATTTTATTAAGAAATATAAATATTTAACTACATTTTAACTATAAAGGTACTATATAAAATTAAAGCCACTTGCTGCCTGTTTAGACATTATAATTCTCAAGTAACAGAATGACTGTGTAACACCTTAATTCCCAAGTAACAGAATACTGAGATTTTTTTATATAAACAAAAGATTAAGATTGCAAGATACTATCAAAAGACTAGAAAATTCAACGTAGTTAATACTTAGATTAATACTATAATTCTATAATCAAATATCTTGAGATAAACTATTGTACTTTACAATGATAGCAAAACACAACTATTTCATAAAATTCACTGTGACTTATTGATCTTAGTAGAAAGATGTCTTATAAGAAGTTCTTAATATACCAAAGCACATTTATAACATATATTTTACTGTGATTTATTGATCTTCGAAGAAATATGTCCTAAGACCTTCTCTTACATCTTCTCTATTATCTTGTATTATATTCTCTATATACAATATCTTTCCAAGAAAACTGCACATTTTCTTCAAGTGTTAATGCTGGCTAATTGATGGCAAAAGAAGGGCTTTTGGCTTTGGGTCGCCGGGTTTAGCTTTATTTTCTTTTTTGTTAGCTTCAGTTGTCAAAGCAAAAGGAGGACAGCCGCCGCCGCCGCCGCCTGACTTACATCACTTTTGGATTACGCTTCGGAATTCGATAAACACTCGAGGCAATTGTTTGGCGGCAGGTCCTTTAGCTTTAGGTCCTTATCAACGTTCAGTCATCGACTATCCTCCGGGGGGATTCCCATGAAAGCTTACCAGCTCAATCCCAGCATCCAGCAGCAGCACTCATTGCATTGATTATAGAGCTCACTCGATGACGCTGATCAATTCAACCTTCAGCTCTAGGCGGACGTGGACAATGACAACACAGCAGGGAGAGAGAGATGGAAAGACACAACCCCATCTCTATCTATATATATATACATATATATGTATTATATAGTGCGGGTTTGGGATTATAAAGAAGAAGGGGTGTTGGGAAAAATTATATACAATATATATATAGGGTGAGGGACCCGCATTAGGTTGATAAAACTAAAATTAAACTCGCTTTTGGGACTTGAAAATGATGAGACTTGAGCACGAGCTATTATAATGCTTTCTTCAGATACAATTTCAGTCCCAATTCTACAAGTTTTCTGCTTATTAAGCAGACAGACAAAACTATATGTTTTCTATAGACAAAAAACTTCAATAAATCAGCATCGAATTGTAAGTTTTTTGTAAAAAATGCATGCAATCTCTCAACTTTTCCATTTGCCAAATGATAAAAAGTACAACAAAGAAAAAAATAAGAAAGATACATGCCGGCTTTCTCAATCTTTTCCTGCATTACTGTATTCATGGCAAAAAAACGAAAAACCCCATCATCCGCTCTGGCTTCCTTTTTTGGTTTGGGCTTACTTCACAGATTGCTCTATATTTAGCCAGCATTTTATGCAGATTGCACTGGCATACAAACGTATATATATAGTACAATATACATATGTATATCTGCATTTGGAGTATCTTGTGGATG